AAATAAAATTTAAATTGTCCCGGAATTAAGAGATTCGACCAAAAGATCTGCGTCAAAATCTAATTCCGGTAACAATAGCAGCGTTGTTTTGGAAAATATGAAACAGCCCTAACTGCCAAAATCTCAATTTTGAGTTAATAACGTACTTATATGTAATTTTTTACAAGGGTTAATTTTAGCTTAATAAATATACCCGCTTTGATTAGTAAAGTTTTGAGATATTTAAAGGAAAATAGCAAACCATATAAAACCAAGAAAACGGAATTTTACTAATTGGATTAAATAATGCAACACGAATTTATAAATAATAAATAACAAAAAAAAATTTTTCTTTTTATTATATTGTCAGATCTAAGTTCAAAAGTGATTATTCATTTATTAATTTTATTCCTGTGTCAATACAATAAAACAATTCTTCCAATTCATTTATACTAAATTATAACAACAATTTTTGTGAATATACATTTATGCTTACTTTTGAAACTATCTTTCACTATTGTTAAACAATTCCTTGCTAAGCAATACTAAACAATATCTTCTTTAGATTTCACACTATTTCCTGATAACATTCTTAGCACAAGACCTCCTTCTGTCTAAGACAGGCATGTTTCCTTTTTATCCTGATAACAATTTCTTGATTGGTGTCCTTCTAGCTGTCCTCTTCTTTACTATTAAGTCAGGGATGTTACCTAAATAAAATTCATTAGTAAAGCAATTAATGATTATAGATGATCTGCACCGTATCAACAAAATGAAATCGTAACTTGTCTTAGCTTCAAAATTACGGCTTATTTTTTTGGTGTTAGAGAAGGATCTACAAGGCCAATAAAAAGTTGTGGGACTAGGTGTCTCGCACTATACAAGTTCTAGATGATCAAGTAACACCATTACCCAAAAATAATGAAATGGAGAGATTCCCGGCTTGCACCCCGTGACTTCGTTCGCAAGCAGATTAAAAAAAACAAAAAAATGGTAAATTATTTCCCGTCTCATTTCTGTTACTAATGTTTTTAATAATATCCAACCCTTTTTTTATATTAGACGCAAAACAACAATGAGAACAATCATTCACTCTCACAATTAACTAATCAAAATGCATCTTTCACAGCAAAACTTGAAGATGGTTCACTAATAGACGTAAGTAAATATGTTGTTTTGAATTTTAAAAAGTCATATTAAAAACCCCCTTAACTTACATTATAGGCAACTCAAAACATAACTCAAAACCAGGCTATTGCTGCTCATAATTTGTTACAAAATATAAATTTATTATTAGATAAACAAGAAAATTTAAAATTAATGAAAAAAGATGATCGAATAAATAAACAGGGAGAAAACAATGATTCAATTGAAAATATTAATAATATAACAGGTATATATATATTGAATTAAATTAACAACACATTCAAAAAAAGAAAATTAATTTTATTTTTTTTAAAAAATAAAAGTTCTTTTTAAAGATTGTAATTATAGCCTAGCAATTAATGATGATAAAATTTATTGTGTAAAACGATCAAATGAAGACAGAACTGAACAATAAAAAAGAATTCTACATACTATATTCACTCTATATTTATTTATAAAATCTTTTTTTTCACTTGGAGAGTTCATAATCAAATTGCATTTATACCAATCAGCCAATTTGAACGAGCTGTTTCAGCATAAGATAAATAGAATATCTTTGTTGATTTTACATAAAACTTGAGAGATTTTTGGATGTTATTTTTCAAAAAAAAAAGATAATATATATTATTATTATAAGCTATTTCATGTTCAACTGCAATGAAATAATTTGAATACCTTTAAGTGGTATATCTGATAAGAATTAGAGAATCTACATAATAAAATTTGACTATTTAAAAAACAATAAAAAGGAACTCCACCTTCCCAATATAAAAAAATTTGTTTTTTTCTTTTAATTTCTTTGGAATTTGGGATTTATTATACAAGTATACAAAAAAAATATCAAAAATTATTGTTCTTTATTATTAAACTTATTTTATGAAATAGCATCCTAAAATTTTTGGCAAAAAAAAGTTTTTAGTGTTACGACCTGGGGTCCTGGTCCATTGGGTCCCGTTGGTGTAACATTTTAACCATACTTAGTATTTATTAACTAATAAATATTAAAGATCAATCAGATTACCACACAAATTTTTATTATTGAATTCAATTAGTTGATTCTAACAAGTTTACATTGAATCAAAATCATTTTTCTTTCTATTCCTTCTATTTTTATTGTTGTTGTTATTCCTATTATTGCTGTTAATATTATTATCATAATTAGGATTATTATTGTGATTATTATTACTATTATAATTATTATGATTATATGGTCTTGTTGGTTGTGATGATGGCCCAGGTTCTCCATAACTTTTATCTTCTTCACAATCCACTAATTCTTGTTTATATGAAGACATATGATTACTGCGGCTATAGTGGTTTTGTGAAGTTTTCTTATTATACATCTACAATAATTTAAATAAACGACAATATTTAAATAAATATCAAATGATAAACAACAACAATAATTACAATCTTACCTCGAATTCATTTATAATATATTCATATATACAATAAATATTACACATCAAAAATTCATCAGGAAATAATTCTGAAATCAATTCTTCTTTAATATGATTTGGCCATAAATTTAATGATATTTCTGTGAAATAATACACTAAATTTTCATTTTCATTATTTAATTCACCTAATAGGGTTCTATACATAAATCTCCTTAATGCTATAATGAAATCTTCTGCTGGTATCTTTTTTTCTTGGATGCTAAACTGATCAAATTTAACAAATTTAATAATGATTTCTTTAGTCTCTTCATCAATAGGAACTTTATATTTATTATCAATATATTGAACCATTTTAATTGATACTTGTTCTTCAATCAACTCATATAGTGCTATTACATGTCTTAAACGCAATTCACTTTTCAATAATTTTGAAAAAGTTTTGTTTTCTAATAAACTTGAAAGTTTCATCCAATTTTCGACAAATTCCTTAATTAACATATTACCATCTTTGGTTGCAGTTCTTTTAATAAAACACAATAATATTTCTAAGGATGAAAGAATCTCAGACGCACTATCAAATGTTAATGAATTAATATCATATCGTTGAAATTTCGAATTAGGAATCGGACTTTGTTTTATCAGATTTTTAACATCTTCAAGAATTCTCATAGATTTTTGAAATAATTCCATATGATAATGAAATTGTTCCATGTATAATTGTGAATCTTTTAAAGTTTCTATTATAACTTTATCCTTTACTAATTTATTAACAAGTTCACCTTCGATCTTTAAAAGGTCATATATAATATCCTTTCCATGACCTTCTTTCAAATTTATTTGACTATATTGAAGTAATTCATCATCCCAATCAAAATTAATATAATTGTTGCTTTTCATATTTTCAAGTTTCATCGATTCCATGTGTTTTAATGGACCTAACTTTAAAATTTTTAGAGATGAACAGTTTTTAATAGGAATTCCATTTACTTCTTTTAGAAAATTGTTTTGTAATCCAATCAAATAATCAATGATAGCACAAATATATATTCCCGTATCTTCAGATTCGACCAATCCAAATATTATTGGACAACTAAGATCTATTTTTGGTCTTGAGCTTGGAAGTTCATGGCATTGAAATTGATTTACTTTGTCGATAATAAAATTCCATGCTTTTGAAAATTCTTTAAAACTTGTCATTAAATATTCATAGTTTTCTCCAGATTTTTGATGATTAGTTTCTTTATCAATAAATTCTTTGAATGTCATTTTTTGAGCTTCCTCTCTTAACAAACGATATTCAAGACGATCTGCTAATATCTTGACAAATTTTAAAATTGGTTCAAGATGTTTAATATATTTTAACTTATCATCATGATTAAAATAAATTGATAAAAATAAATATTGTGATTGATTCATTGAATTACTATTATTAAAAAAAGCCTTTAAATTATCATAACTAGTATCACCAGTTACCCTCCATAATTTTGGTAAATAATCTTTAGAATATTTTTTATAGTGCTCATCCGTCTCATCTGTTTTTACAGTTTCATCTATTTCACTTTCAACCAAATTTGATGTTATTCCTTTAGAATCAGCTTCAATTTGATTTAATTTAGTACGAAAATTATTTATAGTATCATAAAAATTTGTAAATTGTGGCTCAAAATATTTTAGGTGAAATTCTTTTTCCAATTGTTCTCTTTCACTCGCATTTCTAATTTTTGTTGACTTTAATGGATCAGTGGTCATTTTATGAAGTATCGAGTGTAAAAACAGTGCCAAATCTTCATCAGAGCAATTATTAAGACGTTTTTTAAGAATATCCCAATCGTTAAAAATATGATCCATAAAGTATCTTTCAGTATTATTTAATATTCCACTATTATTATTATTATTCGATAAAAAGTCAGATGCCACTGATGAAGGAATTAATGCCCCAATTATTATGTGAACAAATAAATGCAAGATGCGATATGAATTTGGTGGTAAAAATCTGACATTGTGATCCATATCATTATTTGGTGGTTCCATTATATATCCAGTTTCATTATTGATTTCTAAACTTCTTGTTATAGGATTTGAATCTATTTTTATGTTGCCAGGAGCAGATACATGATCTAAACCACCAATTTTATTATTACACTGGGGACAATTACTTTCTTCGTAAGCTCTTCCACAATCGCCTATCAAGTAAGAAAATCCACATTCGCATTCATATCTAAAAAATTATACAAATTCATAGAATCAGATATATAAATATAATATAGATGAAATATAAATATATCAAAATCAATTTACCTAGTGGCTTGACCTGTATTAACCACCGCATTAATAATGACTGATTGGATATCTGATGGACAAGTCATGATAAAATCATTTTTGCAATTCTCTAATCTTTGTAAATAGTATGAAAGAGGCGAAAAAGATTGTGAGGTTGATGAATGTATGGCTATTGTATGTAAAATCATTGATTTAATCAATAATTCTTTTTTATTTGTTTGATTTGAGATTCGAAGAAAAGAAAACTCATCATTCAACAATTTACGAACAGTTGTTTTATAAAGATTTAAATTGTTATTATCACTCATTTCACCTATTCTTTCGAGGAAATATTCAACTATTTGATCTTCAGAATCTGTTCTTTCTCTTACAGCTTTGATCGAATGTAAATGAACAAAAATAATCCCTATCAAAGCTATACGATATGAAACATTTTTATGATGTTTTAAATCATCAAAGAATTCTTTAATAGGTGATTTCATATTAAAGCTATACAGTGTTGAATAATATCTCTCTAATTTTACATAATCATCAATAGGCCAAAACGGATTAAATGATAATCCGGTTTGCTGCTGATTATCCCATGTTATACTACCAAGCCATGGTAAAGTGTAAATTTGCATCTCACAAAATTTTTTTATGTCACTCATAGAAAACTCTCGAAAACGAAGGTTCCGTAAGAAATAAACCTTCAACGAATGAATCAATGGATGTAACGATCCCATGGATTCATTGATGTCTTCTATCAAAGTTGTTGGGTTAAAATTATTTGTTTCCATTAAGTCGAAATAAATTGGTTTCATAGGATCTTCTTGTAGAGTAGTGTCCCAAAACCTATGCACAAATTCTTTAAGTAAAGATATAGCACATATTAGCTGAATATCCTTACGAAAATTACTATGCAAGACCGCAATTGCTTGACGAAAATTAATTGATAAAACATGTAAATCATACTGTGAAAAAAATGTTTTTTGAATTATATCAGAGCATAAAGCAGACATTCTTGAGTGTGGCTGTTGGGATTTCAAGCATTTGTCAATAACATCTAATCTTGGAGAAATATTTCTTGGATCATTAACTAATTCAAAAAAAATATTATTTTTAATATTTTCTTCGCTTTGAAATATTTGTTTAATAATTGTGCCCATCAATGGAAAAGGTACATCTGAAAATAGCTTTCCATACAAATTTATTCGAACAGGCGACTCTATTGGCAAAATCTCGAGACATTTTTTAAAAATTGAATGCCATGCTATTAAGGTTTTTTCATCGTAATCCAAATTATATAAAATTTCCATGGCTTTCTCAAGGAAATCGTCCCGTCCTTTTCTATCAATGTCTTTATTATCATTATCAGAGTTAAAAATACGCTTAATGATGTGTTTAATTTTATCAATAATAATTGATTCTGTTGAAAGTAGGTCATGACAAGTTTGAAGTATAAATAGCATAGGTTCTGAAGAAGAATTTAATATCTGTGTACTAAGAGAAAGTATATTGAAAACTTTAGTTTGCCAATTTGAAATATTATTGTTCACATCTTTAATTTCTAAAAAATTTTTAAGCATCATATACGCAACTTCTTTAACAATGAACTGCCTAAATTTTGGAGATGATTGGTCATGACTTTGTGTGATTAAATTAGAGTTTATATTACTATAATTAGAAGCTAAGCGAAATTCAGCAAGAATAGATTTTGAATGTCTCCACCAAATGATATGATATATGACTGGATTAAAGATTTTTCCTTGTTCAACAAGACGTTTAAAAACAAGTTTTAATATATCTTGGTTTCTTTCTTTTGTTTTAGCTTCATTAGCACAAATAACACTAATAAAATCTTGAAAATATAAATCTGAAGCCCTCTTTAAAGGTGATTCCTGACCATTCGAAACAATTTCAAATAATTTTTTGGCAAAGTTATTGTCAAAATCAATCTGTAAATGCTCATATAGTATTCCAGTTTCAGGATCAATATTCTCTTTCTCTTGCATATATATATTAATTTCTTGCTCATAATGACTCTTATAACTATCAATTTGTTTCATATAATAATAAGAAAATGGAAATTTAAGATCATAAATAACTGATGGAATTATATAACGATCAGGTTCTGGTTTTTCTAATTCATTGATTTTTATAACGTCTTTATTCATAATCATCTCGTCAATAAATTCTTGAAATTGTTGATTTTCTTCATTAAATTGTGTAATAAAGGTCTTGGTTACTGCTAAACGCTCAAACATGCATAAAATTTTTGCAATTGGTTCACGTACCACTGAATGTATATGATATTGTAAAGCAGTTGAAAATGATGAATATGGATATAACAACTTTTTGTTGGATGCTACAGAATATTGCCAATTAGTTGTTGAATTTTCTTCTAGCCATTTCATTGTAAGATCTTTTAAATATTTTACAAAATATTGATGTTGTTGAATGTTACTGTTAAGGTATCTTTTTTATATATATTTTTGAATAAAAATGCATTAATAATTAATTTGTCAAAATTCAATAAAAAATTTGTCAAAATAATCACCTTATATGTTCAACTGATTTGGAATTTGACGGGTATTTCATACATAGTAAACACCACAATAATTCTTGTTTAAGAATTTCTTCAAACGAACAAACATTATTAATAATCTCACACATAGTTCCATCTAAAAGAATGGATAATGGTTTTTCTTGTGGAACAAGGCTTTCTATTGTAACTTGCTTCCACCCGCACATGAAATTGAATGTAGTTACTGAAGCGTTAGAATCACGATAAATATGAAGAATAATAAAGACATGTTTAATCTTATTTTGATCTTTGTTTGAAAAGTATTCAGCTTGATATTGTTCAATAATAAATTTTGCAAGTTTTATACATCCTTCATCAACTATTGCAACATCACATTGTAGTATAAGTATTTTACTCTCTGAATTAAACCAAAAGTCTTTTATCCTATTTTGATAGGATGATTCAGTTTTGAATTCTGAAAGTTTAAAAATAAAACAGTCAACTAATTCTCGAAGGTGAGATTTTAAATCTGTATTAATATTTGAAAATGTATTAACTATAATACATTCTCCAATTTGTTCATCGGAACTAGATGCGTCTAATAAATAATTTTTTATGTAGTCAACAATATTATCATGAAATTGTAATTTCAAATAAACATTCTTCCAATAATTAACTTCTTTCTGGCTTAAGCCTGATTTTTCTGCTCGAATAATACCATCAGAGGTTGCAATTTCTATTAACGATCCTTTACATAATTCAAGAATTTCATCATCATTTAGATTTGGATTGTTTTTCTTTACATCTATGACTAAACTTTGTAGCGTCTCATCTTCATTGTAACCAATAAATAAATCACATTCTGTGAATTTATCATTTGAGTAGACTGTATCAGTTATTTTTGAAAATTTTTCCACCCAAGTTTTCAGTACTTTTACTAATTGTAAGTTTTCATTAGTTAAGATGTCAATTAAAGTTATTTTTTGTTTTTCAAATCGGTTAAGAAGTGGAGGATCGGCTTCTTCTAATTTTTTTTGACTCATAATAAGAATACATCTAAAATCCTTGTGAACATGCTTTAAAATAATAGTAATTATAATAGTAAAATTAGTAAAATTAATAAATAATAAAATTGATAATTTCAAAAGAAATTTATTACTAACAAGCATGGGGTTTGAAAAGGCACCCAATGCAACTCTAGTATAATATTTTGGATCATCTTTACTTCCAACGACAATATAATTTTGGTTCCATAGGTCATAAAGACTCCCTATTTTAAAAAAAAAGACCCCATGAAAATTAAAATAAAATGTATTTTTACTGTCAGCAAAGTTAATTTCAAACTTTTGCATCTAATACCATAAATTATCTCCAAATCAGTTAGAATTAAAGGCTTTCCTGCTTCTACACACATCTAAAATTAAAATTAAATTCTCATTAAACGTTCATTATTTGAAGAGGAGGAAATAAACACTCTTTTAAAAAATACCATTATTTTATTTAAAATACTGTATGAATAATCTTGATTGTCTTCAGGGAAATGAGACCCTAGAATCACAACAGGGTCTAATTTCTTTTCTCTGAGTTTATATGTGATTATATTTATTAGTGAATCACTTTTTCCTATTAGCATTAGATGTCTTGCACCGTCTTCGTTAATGTTTGCATCTATCAGCTTAGAAACAGGAATTGGCTTATAATTCCATTTGTGGTGAGAGTTAAATGCTTCAATTATACCTTTAAAGTACTTTTTACATATGTTATCATTATATTCTGTACCACCAAAATTGCGAGCTAATGCCATTTGAATGTTGTCGGGTGTTAATTCCTTTAATGAAAGGCTTTTAACTAGCGAATAATAATCACGAAGTCCATGAAAGTTTGAAAGTTCTTGTTCTTTTTCATATTTAGAGTAAGCTTCTGCAAGTGGTTGAAGCGCCTCTTGAGAAACATTATGGATTTTGTCAGTCAATAAACTGGTTGAAATATCAACCAAATCTTTAAGTTCAAACTTGGGCCTAATTTATTATAAAAAGATTTTAAAACATACACATAAAATAGTAAATGTTTGGATGCATAAACAAATACCTTTGAACTAATAATGCCCTACTACTTTTACTATTATCTAATCTCCAGTTGGAAATACCTATTACAGAAACCGTTGGAGATTCTGCAGGATAACTTGGTTCAAGCAGTGAATGTAAAACCTTCAATGGGTTTTCACTCGAAGTCTCTGCCAACCCAACTTATATAAAAGAAGATTATGATATTTGTGATAGCATAAGTAATTTAGTTAAATAAATTAACCTGTGAATACAAATCATAACAAAAATTATACCTTCATCAAGTAACACTACACTAATTACAGGGAACTCTTCAGAACTTGTATTCTGAAAATTTTGTGCCTTTTCAAAAACATTTAAAATGCCATCAGATGTTGAAGATGATGATCCTTGATGTGGAATTATATATATCTGTAAAATATAAACAAATCAGTCAGCAACTATTTAACTTGATATCTACGTTGAAGAATATATAATAAATGCATTTATTTACCTGTGGCAATCGTCTGAAATATTGATCATTTGAGTCTGATCCACGCAAACTTTGACTAACAAGTCGAATAGCCAAAGACTTTGAAGATCTTTTATAATCCAATAAATTTTTATCATTATTATTATTGATTGATAAAAATAATCAAAATAATAATTGCGAGCAAAATTTCAATACTAACCCTGGAGATCCGATAATAAATACAGGTATTTTAGTTAAAATGCATACAATCATGACTAATACGTTTTCCAAGAGTGCCTCATTTTTTGCAGTATTTGGAGGGAGGATCATTCTATTGATATAATCTTCTTGTTCCTCCCTTATTATATTAATGAATTGTTTTTCACTGATAAATTGGAAGATTTCGCACAATTTTTTTCTAAATTGTTCACGTAAATCTTTCCGCGCAATCCTCGCTTGATAAGAAAGTGCCAATGATAATACATATGATCGAACTGTAATATCGATGGAACCAGTATTTCTTGGATATTTTTGCGCATCTGCTTTAATTGGCGGACGATCTTTAAGGCTTTCCTCAAAAAATTTTACCAATTTAATTGCACGCTTAACATCTCGTAAACTCACACTATAAGGTTCTTCGATTTCTCTTATGAATTTTTGAGATTCAAACAATAGTTTGGCAAAAAGATCTTTCTTTTTCGTATTTAATTGATTTTTTACCATAATTTCAATATATTTTTTTTCATCATTTGATTCTAGTACACCATAATCCCAAACATAATCTAAAATTTGATCAGGAATTGGTTTTACTTGATAAACAAGGTCACTTTGTTCGTTGTATATTCTATTCTTAACTTCTAATCCGACCTGACTAATACTTCTGGTACGTATACGATAAGGATTACATGCTGCAAAAAGTCGAATTTTTGGATGTATTTCTATTCCTTTAATTAATCTGTGGGCAATAAGATCAGCAAGTAATCCAATATGATTACAAGTATTAATTTCATCAAAGAATAACCAAACTTCGCCTTTATTCACGCATGCCTTGGCATTTGTCATAAAATTGATTATGTCCTGTTCTTGAATACCAGCGTGAAGATTTAAAGTCATAAATTCTGCTTCCACTATCTTGGCCAAAAAACTAATCAAACTGGTCTGATAATTAATAGAAGATATGTTTATATATTTACTAATAAAAAACAGATTGTATTTAAATTTCAAAAAAAATTTTGTATATATACCTTTCCACATCCGGCTTCTCCACAAATTACTACGGGTATATTAGCACGAGTTCTTAATAAAATCATTGCCATTTTTAACAAGTTATCAGTCGACAATGCATACAACGGATAATCAATATTATGTGTGGTTCTACGTGCTAATTTTTCCAGTACTTCTAATAAATCTTCTGGTGATGATTTGTGATAATCATCTAGTTGCCATCGATCCTGCCCTACATTCTGACTTTTCAATAATACCCTAACATTATCAGGGACTTTTGTTTTATCTCGATACAAAGCATAAATTGAATCGGGAACTTGGGATAAAAAAAATACTAATAAATGATTTGAATCATCCCAACGAATAATGTCCTCTAACTTTGAGTTTTCAACATCTTTTGAGATCGCTTTACTTTGTGCAGATTTTGTTTTAAAAGATTTAATGGAAAAATCTTTAGAAACATCCATCAACGTATTTAACAATGTTGTTCTGATATTTTTTTCTTCTACCATTAAATTTAAATTTTCTACTTTAAAAAAGGAACTTGATGAAAGCCTTATTAATTGATCTGCCAATACATTTGTAAAAATCTCAAGAAAACGATACGAAATAACTTCTGGAGCACTTCTTTCAAAGAAATACTTTTCCAAAAGATTTCGACATATTTCATCATTTAATGGTCGATTTATAGAGTTAGGTCCTCTGAAAGATATCTCGGTAGAATCAAGTTTTTCTAAATCCAATGAATTTAAATAATGACACACAATTTGAATTGGGCTATGTATTTCTTTAGATACAATAAAATTTTTTATATCCCAATCTAAATGTACTCTTTTGAGATAACTTGTAAACGGTAAAAGATCTAATAAGTGATTTTCTACAGAGGAGGATATCTCAATGTAAACATTGGTTCGCTGAAGCTGCACTATATCTATACTGTTGGATACAAACCCAAACATTAATATTTGAAATAAAAACATATTAACATCTTCCGGATGATTTGCGGAAATAATATTTATATGGAGATCGGTGTAATTCTTTATATGACATTCTTTTAATTCTCCAACAAGGTTTTCAAAATTGGCATCATCACTAATAAGAAAACTCTGTATACGTCTATTTTTCTTGAAACTATCCTGTTTAATCCATTCGGTTTTGCCTTGACCAGATAAATTTGATGTGACACATATAACATCACAGCATATATTATGAAAAATGTGTTTCATTGCTTCAGTATTTAATCCATTAGTTGGTTGGACATTTTCCGAAAATTCTTCCAATATATGGTGATGTGTTCCAGGTTGTTGAAAACAAATCAAAGCCAGATAAAAATCAGTTTCTTTTTTAGCCATATCTTGTATTTTCTTTACTAACCCATGTTGTAGTTCAAAGTCAAGTAATTCTAAATTTGCTATGCAAAATAGATGTCCTTCAAAACCATTTTTCGCAGATAAAAAACATCTTTTAACAAATATTGATAACTCTCCTTCTGTTGTTGACTTTGTACAGACTAGAACTTCCCAAGGTTCGGGGCGTTTTTTGTGATTAACATATAATGACATTATAATATTTGGAATTTTTGACTTATCATTGCATGCAGCCACAAATAATTTGCCTTTTTCAACTACATCTGAAATCACCAATTGATTGTTTGATACGCTAAGATTTCGACTATGTCTTGGCAAAACTCTAAAAATTTCCTCCAGTATTTTTCCAATTTCTCCCAAAAGTTTTGGATGAGCGTCTTTTTTAGATAGTAATCCATCATTTGGTAATTTAGCATTTGGATGGACAAATCTTATAAGAGTTTGACAATCTTTTTTGATGATATAAGGTGCATTTCGGATTGTAAAATAAGTTTGAAAAGTAAGAATATGACGAGGTGGATAAAATGTCATATAATAGTGAGATTTTTGTGTGATATTCACCATATTCTCCCTATATAGTTTTAGTCAATTAATAACAAGTGAAATTAATTTATATAATCAAGAAAATAATTTTAAAAATAATTAAATGAGCACCAACCAATCGTGCAAATTATTTTTCAAACAGTAAATTTTTTGTGAAATCTCTTTTCGCCCTTTAAGATTAAATGTAATAAATTTAAAGTTAAAGTGACCAGATTCTATTAACTTGGAAATTAGATCAATAATTTCTTGAACCATATCGACTTGATTTACAAACTCATCCATCGATTTCTTTTGCTTTTCTACAATATTATTGTTAAAATCTGCGTTAATAGATGCAGGTTTGGCTATTAATAATGCTCTTCCACGCAAATCATGTAACGCATTAAAGTCTAAAGTTGTAGTGGTCTTTGTTTTCTTGGATGAATAAGTCAATACTACTGAACATTTTTTGTCCTTTACTTCTTTTCTAAATTTGTATACGCCAATTTCAACAGCATTTATAATTTTGTCTTTTGTAACTTCTTCTTTTTTAGATATATTTAAATAAAGATTTTGCAAAGCAAAAAAATGGCTGTTGCATAAAATAATTTTTCCTGGAAGAGAAAAGTTTGAATCAGCATCAGTTACACTTCGAATATCTGAAATAAAAGCATCTAGATTTGAATTCTCGGCTTCGTTCATCAATGGAAGTAAGGATTGTTTGACTTGCATGAGTGATGACACGGTATCCTCTTGAATGAGTCTTTCATCCGAATGATCATCAACACTGTTTATAAGATGATTAATGTCATGACCAGCAATACTTTGAAGAAATTTAATAAATTCTCCAGAAACTGATAACTCTTTAATTAATGCCCAACTGTCATCGAATCTTGAAAAACGCAATTCTATAATAGAAGTGCAATCGCTAAGTTTTCCTAAAGTTAAGTTCTGATCATTTAACGTATAGAGTAAATCTTCTTCAAGCCAATCGTTTTTCTCACGAGGAATATTAAAAAAGCCAGTAACTTGAGATAATTGATTCAATTTTCCGATCCATTGTTCGATCATTGAAAGAAACTTTAATGTTCTCAAAAACCTGGTATCTTTTTCAATGGTTGTAAATAAATTTAACTCGTCATCAATATTAGCAACATTTTTCCAAATACAAGCATTTGTTGAAAAACTGGATGATTTCCAATTTACATATTCCTCAGAAAGAGCATTAAATCGTTCGAAAACTTTTGGAATCAAACTTTGAACCAAATATTCTAATGAAATCTTCACATTTATTTTGGAAATAATCTCTTCAAACATATTATAAAAAACTTGTGATTTGCGAAAATTATAAATTTTAATTGCCATTCCAAATATTTTATCATGCTTATCCCAATGATCAGAATTTTTTGATTCTTCATATGTGATTTTATCCAACATGTTTCTACGATCTTTAATATCGTCAAGGAACGATGATATGTCGACTTTTTCACTAGGGCAAAATCTAACATAAAATGCATAAAGGTATTCAAGTTTTTGCTCATAATCTTTACAGTGTCTACGAGCTTCAACTAAAACATCTTTTGAAACTATTAGCAAAGATGTGTCCTTTTTAATGTTAGAAGCTTTAAAAAACGAATAAAGTAATTCGTCATCGTATTTTAAAAGACCTTGAAGAAAACTGACATCAATCCTTTTCTGTAAAATTAAATCTGATAATTTTAAGATTTTTTTTGAGACAATCTGAATATACTTGTGTGTGAAAAGTATTTCAGTATTATTCTGTGCATCGAAAATTAGTTTCCAAAATTCCGCTTGATCAATTAAATCATAATATGAATCACCAGCGTCGACGGATAAACATGATACAATGTGATAAATAATTGTTTCGCACAATCTAGATATTAAAATTCATATTTAAATTTTTAAAAAAAACTGTGTGTTAAAAAATAAATAAACTTACTCATTTGGAATATCTAAATTTGAAGATGTACAGTTGCAAATAATTTTGACTTTGGTTATTAAATTATTGTCAATAGTAACGTTGGAAGTGTTAAATAATTCTTTAATCAATTCATAAAATCGGTTTTTAAGTGCAGGAAAATCAATTACTTGGCAAGTTGCTTTTAAAATATATTGTTCTTGAGATTTTTTGATACGATTTATACCGGCCTCTAGGATTTCATTCCAAAATAATTCTCTTTTACCAAGCGCATCATGTGTGGATGACAATTTGTCGAAAATTTGATAAACATATCCATCTTCATTTTCTGAAACTATTTTATTAGATATTTGGTCACAAAGGACATTAAACCAAGTAACACAAGCTTCTAAAATCTTTTGTTGTTCGTTTTTCTCGAGATCGTATTTTTCAAAAAATTTATCCAACAAGATAGGAAAGTTTAACAAAATTTTGATATTGGCTACCGTCCGTACATATTTTACTAAAGATACAAAATCTTGTTTTGGCCAATCGAATTCATGTTTGAGAATAAGATCAAGAATTGCTGTAACTTGCTCATCTTTCCAATTATGTTTATGTTGACTTAACCTAAAACAATCCAATATTTTAGTTCTAAACGTTTTTTTCATGTTATGTCTGATATAAATAGGAATATATAAATAATGACGAAGTAAAGTTATGGGATCTTGTAAAGAGATATTATTACTGATGATGCGATCAATACGATTAACCATACATTCTTGAAGTTTTTCATCCAGTTCTGAAGAATGAACAATAACTTCGCTCCACATTCTTACTATTGAACTCATATCATTACATAATTCTATTAGCCACTAAATGTTAAAAAATAAAATTAATAAATTATAAATAAAATTGTTGTAAAAAACTCTTAAATTACCTACTTTTGCAATTTTTGTATAGATATTTATATCAAGACCATCATCAATGTATGGTTTAACTAACGACGGCAAAGCTTCAAAGAATCCTTTCATCGTGTTATTATCATAATTGATATCAGAGAAAGAATCAAGGAAAGAATATTCTTTATCCAAAATATTTGCGACTGAAAAAATATTTAACCAATCCAATGAATTCTGCTTTCCAATGTGATATACTAAATCTATAATGCCTTTTAGTGCAATTTGACAAAATTGTGATGGAAAAGTGCTTTCTTTAATTTGATTAATAGAATCGAGTAAATTATGAGGTTTAAAATTACAATATTGAAAAATTTTAGAATTATTTTTTCCATGGATCCCCAATAAAAAAATTAAAAAAAATTTTTGTTCATTAAATTTATTGTTTCTAATTTTTTCTTCAATAAAATGAATACCAGCGGCTTCAATTACTAATTCTTTGTGCTTTTGAAATATAGTATCAAATTCAAATAATTTGTCATTTAAATTATTAGCATCTAAAGTATTGTAAATGATATTCACAAATTCATAATTATTAATTTCAAACGATATTTTAAAATCATCGTTATCTTTCCATATATCATAGTGATTTCTGTGACTTGTTTCCAGTAAACGTTCGTATTTTCCATCAAAACCTTCGAAAATAATATCATTTTTTAATGCTTTTCGTTGCTTACTGTTTAAAAATATTGCATATTTATAAGTTATTTTGTGGTTTGTTTCAATAACTTGAAGTGGGATTTTGACGATATTTGAAAACCAATAAATAGATTTGTTTTTCGAAAATTTAGAGCTTTGTTGGCAAAGTTTTACAACAGGCTCTATCCATTCACCTAACTCCTTAATGCTACCGACAACACATATATCGCCTTTACCTTTAACAGATTGCGGCAAATGAACATGAAACTTAACTTCAATATATTCATCGTTAACGGTGGAAACCTGGCTAGTAGACGCAGAGTCTAATTGATAAATATTATTTTCATGCTGATTGTTGTCGTCTGTTTCAAATGTTTGGATGTTTGAAGTATCGTTTAGAGACAACAATAAAGTAGAATTTTCGATTTTTTGTTTGTCCCTTTTTTTATTTCGTTTTTTAGATTTTTTAGGATTGTTTTTATTAGTTGACTGATCATCAGTTTGAGAATTGATTGTAGTTGGTTCTATTAAATTACTTTTTGTAGAATTAGAAGAATCATTGTTGTCACCAAATTGTTGATCATCATTACTTTTCACTTTTGTTACTTTTGACAACAATATTGAAATATTTATCGATATGAATAATAATGATAACAAGATATATATCAATAATCTTAATAATTTAATGTTCTACAAACCTTTATCTTCGGAGAAATTTAACAATTCATTATCCACGACGGTTACATGATCGAGCTTATCGTTTTTAACAATATCTTCACATCCTTTTTCAAGATCAAATGTTACTTTATTTTTATCATGTTGAGCATTATTATCATCATTTGAAGTTGTAGAACCATTTTTACTCAAATTATAAGAGGCAAAAATCGAAGATTCATTACTGAGAGGTTCACATCTACTTTTTTGTTCAAAGTCAATTTTGGTTGCATCATTATCATTGATAGGAAAAATATTTTGGTTAAGGTTAGGATTAAAATCTTTCATAAAATCATTGTTGTTATTATTATTATTAGAAATGATTTTATTAGAATTGTCATATATTGCAGTTTGGTCGTTGGGATCAGGATCAATTTCAATAAGGTTACCATTGTTTGAATTATTGCTTGAAGACATTTAATATTTTTTTTTATATTAATAATAACATTACAACTTTTTTTTTATCGTTGAATTTGTTTCACCTTGAAAAAGGAAATTTTTATATGTGTGATCATGTGTAGGGTTTGTATTCACGGATACCGTAAGGAGTCACACAGGGTTACACACTATTAAAATCAAGTTTTTAAGGGATTTTTTGCTGTTTTATTAGTGTGTAACCCCCTTAACGGTATTCATGGTATCCATGAATACAAACCCTAATCATGTGATATACGCCAGTTTGTTACTATTACATATTTAATATTAATATTTCACAAATCCAAAATATTATTAACAAGTGCAGGTTGAAATCAGTTGTATATAGATACCAAACAAAGCAATGAAGACGATTTAAGGGTTCAAAATTTTAAAAAAACAATCTTTTGTAAAAAGTTACCTTATTATCATTATCATTACGAGAAACTGCCTACCGAACCGTTCTCCCTCTCTTTTCTCTATTAATAAATCAAACGTTTTCTGTATTTTTGCTAAATAAAGTGAAATATAGATCATGACAAAAACTACACCAAGAAAATGTTAGGTCTTTTATTTTCGTTAAATTATGATATCAATCAATCAATAATTTAATAATTATTTTGGAATAAAATGTTATATTTTACAATAAATTACATTCCAAAAAGAAAGTTAAATAATAATTTTTAATAAATAAAATTTAAAAAGATTTAAAAAATCTGGATAATGAACTATTCCACCTACTAGTGTTATTATTACTGGCATTATTGGCATTGGTATCTCTCTGATTATTACCATCGCCATCACCACCATCACCACCACCATTATTGTCATTATCGTTATTACTATACTGTTCAGGATAAGCAACAAACTCCTCATCCTCAACATCATTATGATTAGCATCATCATATTCTGTATCATATATTGTTTCATCACCACTACTAGTAGAAGTAGCATAAAGATAATCATCATCATCACCATAATTTGGTGATTTGAAATCAAGTGTCTTACAATATGTTAATAATTGATCTGCACCACATTCATTAGCAATTAGTTCAAATTCATTAGCATTGTCCATATTAACAAATTTTCCAAGTTCTTTTTCACATCGTTGAATTAATGGTTTGATTAAAAATCTTGTTGCTACATATAGCAAATCAATCCATTGTTCTACTCCACTTGTTGGTACAGTTGTTGCTCTTGGGGACAATAATGGTCTTTTTGAGGATGATGATGATGATGATGGAGATACATCCATGTTATTATCACCTTTATCATCTTTACCATCATCTTTATTAATTGACGATAGTTCACCCGTATATAAAAATTCAAGTATAGTCTTCATAGTTTGATAGGAAGTATCTTTCAATAAAAGTGTATGGTTTTGCGATTCAATCATTGGTGAATGGATTAATGCGTTAAAGTATTCTGAATTGTCAGTCAAAATTTTTGAATGGACATGAAATGATTTTTTTTTTGATGGTTCATTTGATGTGGATGGTGATGTTGACGGTGATGTTGAAATAGTGGCAGCATTTGAATCTATTGAAGTGGTCATACTGCTTGAAATAGCCATATCATCTAAAGTAGTAGCAGTATTTGAATTCCCATCATAATCATTATCAAGAATAATTGTAAAATCACTATCTGATAAATCATCAAGTATAAATGGTTTTTTGATTTGTGAAGTATTATTCTGCAAAGGGGAGGAATAAGAAGGTATTGTATTATTGTTATTATTTAAAGGTAATTCACAAATAAATTGCGGCTTCAATTCTACTTTAACATCCAACCCAAAACTTTCATCATCGTCTGCCATTCCATTCCTACTATTGGGATCATCTTTATTAGGACTAGTCAATGCTTGTCTAAATAATTGTGTTTTTTGCCAACAATAATGAGTTGTACCACCTGATAATAAGGCTCTTAACTTAAAGCCATGTTGATTTTTGACAACAATATTATTATTATTAACATCATTATAATCATCACCAAGATTAAAAACAGCAGTTAAATCTTTACGTCCATCATTATCATTTCTTTCCCAATATATATTATTATTGGTATTGTCACTATAATCCAATAAGATCCAATCTGTATTTGGATTAGATCTAGTTGGTGTCAATTGAATCATCCATTTTACTGATGCTGTTTCATCAAAAGTTGAAAATCGTAATTTTAGTGATATTGAATTGATTACCAATTTACTAGGTCTATAATCAAACTTCCATATAATATTTGCCGACTTTTCATTATAATCTATAATACCTCTTGCTAAATATACCCTTTATTTAAAAGGAAAAAAAAGTATATATAAATATTAATTATTATTATTATTATTATTATTTTAATTTATAGATATAGATAGATATAGTGAAACTTGCATTTTCCAATCATTCTCCTCTTTTCGACACATATTAACAGCTTTAAAAGCACCACGTTCCCACCCCCTTATGTAAATATCATCCAAATTTCCATTTTCATAATAAGCATCATTTCTAGTGTTATATGAAAGTCGATGAGTGTATGTGGTAGCAGTGTTACTGGAAGAAGATTTTAATGATAGATTTGGAACAAGATTTATTTTAAACATATCATTTAAAACTCCATAACATTTATTTTTTGACACAGAGGTTATTGTTTCATTATTTGATGCTGATGTTGAAGTTTGTGGTGAATTATCAATTTTGTCCTTTGATATTTTTGTTGCTGACGATGATAATTTATCATCCTTTTTTTTCTTTTTTAATTTCACAGCAGACTCTCCTTCAAAAAAGGCAGCATCTTGTCTACGTAGTATACAAGTAAATTGACGACTATAAGAGAATAAATCAGCAAAATTGGCATTAATAAATCTATCATTAAAATCACTATCTACATCATCATCATCAACATTAATGGTGTTATTATCATTATCTTCATTGGTTGCAGTGACAATAGTGGTTTGGTCTGTTCTAACAGGAAAAAATTCAACTGAATTATTATGGTTATCCTCATCATTACTATTCATAATAGTAGAAGCAGTAGTGGTGTCATTGTTACTTTCTGATCCTTGTTCTGATATTTGTTCTTCTATTAATCTTGATGAATTTTGAGAACTCATTTTTCAAATTTCGAAAATTTTATTTATTTATTTTTTTTTAAACGCTTATTATTATGTTATTAATAATAGCATTTGAAATATGATATCATAATTACGTTAGTAGAAATTCGATTATATTAAAAATGTGATGATCATTGACAGTGTTGTCAGCGGACGCGGACATGGACACGGACTGTCCGGTCCGGGACTGTCCATGTCCGTGTCCGTCACTTTAAATGTCCCGGACCATTCTTGGACAAAAATATAAATTTTTACCTACTACCTCTTTCTTAAAGCTTTGGTGAATCTGTAAACACTTTATGGTACAATTAACAAAGCAATAAAGCTCATGTAGAGTTCCTTTT